GAAATTTAATTGTCTAATTAAACCTCTCCCTCTAATTGAATTTACAATCCTAAAAGAAATATAAAAACAAAAATTAGGGCATAAAAATGAGAAAAAGAAAATGCCACGAACTTACCTGATAAGTCTTTCCCAACTCCTCCGCTCAATTAAGACTTAAGGAAGCACACAGATTTTGAAGAACTTGAAGAAAAAAATTAGCACAAAGCTAATTCAAAGAAAAGCTCAAAGTTGTGTGTTTATAATGCTTGAGCTAAAGCCTTTACAAAGACTTTTATTTACTACTTCTACTTAGAATAGGACTTAAGATTCCTATCCAAACTCTAGGAATTAAATTAACTAGAAAACAAATACTTAAACAATAAAATATTCTAATTCTTATAATTATTCTAAAATAATAATTAATAAATCATATGGATAAGATTTAATATTAAAATATTAATAAATTAATAGACTCTTTCTCCCAGATCTTCAAGGATCTTTATCTTCCTTAGACTTCTACTTTGAATAGAGTTCCTTTTTCACTTTAAGTATATTAATCACATGGGATTAATTTAAAGAAGTTGTTGCAGCTTAAAAACCTTGTAAAAATAGGAAAAGTGAGAAAATCTAAATCTAAAAAATTTTAGGGGAGGCAAGCCGCACTAGCTGCCTTTGGGCTGCTCGGGTTGTGCCTAGGTCGCGCGAGCTGCTCAAGTTAGACCTGGATCACATGGCTGGTGTTGCATGGGCCTGGACGCACTCGTGCGCCCCTACTGGACATCGGCCTTGCTGTCTATGCACATGCACACATATGGGCTACCCATGCTTGGTGTGCGCTGGGCCTCTTCCTCAGGTGTGGCCTGCCCATGGGTGCAACATGATCCAATCTGCTTCCTTTTAGTGCAACAACCTTAGGCCATGACCCATCTTGGCCATAAGGCCTTGAAGCCTTCTCAAATTGGGCCAAAAGTAGGCCTTTCTTCTTGCCTTGTAATTTCTCCAAGCTCATGTGTCACCACTTGGGTTTTGAGTTTCTTTTGGGTAAACTTGCCCCATTTCTTAGAATAACCCCAATTAGGGTAGCAGTCAGCGATTGAATTACTTTTGTGTTCTGGGTATTTCCATCTAGAAAACTGGAATTTACTTTCCAATTCAAGACAGGGTTTGTTTTAGAATAATCTAATGCGCTAGCGTGTGCATGTTTGTTGTGCAACATGCTCGAGACCCCGTGCTATGGCAAACTCATGGGAAATTATTTTGTAAGAGTTCGAATTTCCATGGGGCTCATCCTTGAAGTGAGATTGCATCTTCGAAACTAATTTTAGACTTTGTAGGACACATCATCTGCGCCTTCTTGAAAGAGATTTGTCCTCGAATCTTGACCTTCATCACAGAGGAAAATATTTGTGATAACAATAAAAAGCTCATTATACTTACTTGGCTCGTTGAGTTCCTCATTGATTTAATTCTCAACTAGATCGACACTTCTTCCTAGATCATGCAAGAAATCATTATTGAAGATAAAAGACTTAGCAACTACACACGAATTATCTTGGTGGTTGGCTTCTTTTCCTTCTTTTATATCTTTTGTGATAGGGTCCTCGATCTCTACGGGAGCTTGAATCTTTTGTTGAATAGGAAGGTTCTCCATCACATTATTATATGTATGGACAATCTCTTCACTTAATGCTTCTCATATTAGGTCCTTCCATTCATCAAATAGATATTGGAGTTTGACAAGTTCATCACAAAAACTCATTATGAAAGATTCCTACAAGGAAAGGTTAATGAAAGCAGATAACTCTCCCTTACCTTCGTTCGAGTTTACCTCACAATCTTTCAAATTATAGCTTATTTTGTCCAGTTGAGCATTTAGATTTAGATTCACTTAGATCAAGACCTGCACGTTAGTCTTTATAACACAAGAATCCTAAGGGCATCTGATTTCTACAAAAGCTCATGAACAAACACACAGAAGAAGGAATTATGTGCTTTTATTTTTATGCTAAGTAACTAGGAATGATCAGTTACTTAGATATGCAACGGAATAAATGCACGATGAATAATGAAAATGTAGATCATAAAGAAAACATGATAGACAGATAGCGTAGGGATCCAATCAATCCCGCTAGATATAATTGGAAAGTGTATCTTAATACTACCCAATACCGACTGTGCTCTACGAATAATCAAGTTTCTTTATGTAACTTCAAGCCAAAATTTTGAGATGCAAAACATCAATTAAGTGTGAATTAAAAAAAGTTTTCATTCATAGTGGGTGAGCTATTCTTCCTCTTTGCATTTATGCAAGTGAATGAGGCAGTATAATGAAAACAAAAAGTTTTCACGTGCACCTACTAGGTGAGGTATTTTACCATTGACTCTATAAAGATTTTCAAGTCACAGTAGTACGTGGTTACTCTTCTTTTGAATACAAGAATGCAACAACGTTCCAATTGCCTTATGGTGTGCAATTGGAATATTGTTTTGGATTTTTTTTTAGTTTTGTAATTTTTTAACCATACTAAAACAAAACCACTTGAATTAGATGGATGATTATGAAATTAAGCAAGATGTAATATGAATTAACAATTCAAAATAAAATTGAATGTTAATTAAGTTACAATAATGCTTAAGTAATTAAGATAAATATGTTCACTAGGAGCCTAAGCTCTGATACCATTTGATACGAAGGGTATGAGAAAGATTGTTTTGACTCCCGAAACCTCAACTCAAACGCATGCAATATCGAAACTTAAATGCCTCGTTAAACCCCTCCCTCTAATTAAATCTACAATTTTAAAAAGAATGCAAAAATAAAAACTAAAAAACAAAAACAATGAAAAGAAAGATGCTACAGACTTACCCAATAAGGCAATCCCAACTCCTCGACTCAATCAATGCTTTAGGAAGCACACCTAGCTTCGAAGAACATGAAGAGAAAAATTAGCACAAAGCTAATTCAAAGAAAAGCTCAAAGCTTTAATTTAATCATTCTCAAAGTTGAGTGTTTATAATGCTTGGCTAATGCTTTTATATATGCTTTTATTTACTACTTTTACTTGGAATAGGACTTACGATTCCTATCCAAACTCTAAGAATTAAATTAACTAGAAAATAAATATTTAAATAATAAAATATTCTAATTCTTATCCTTATCCTAAAATAATAATTAATTAATTCGATTGATGAGGCTTAACATTAAAATATTAATAAATTAATAGACTCATTCTCCCAAATCTTTAAGGATCTTTATCTTCTTTGGACTTCTACCTCGAATAGAGTTCTTTCTTAAATTTAAGCATATTAATCACATGGGTTTAATTTATAGAAGTTGTTGCAGCTTGGAAACCTTGTAGAAATAAGAAAAGTGAGAAAAATCTAAATATGAAAGGATTCAGGAGAGGCAAGCTGCACGAGCTGCTTTTGCGCTGCTCGGATTGGGCCTGGGTCGCGCGGGCCACTCTGGTTAGGCTTGGATCACGTAGATACTGTTGCATAGGCTTGGGCTACATGCTTACATCCTTATTGGGCGTGGGCCTTGCTGCCTGCACACATGCATGCTTGTGGGCTACGTATGCTTGGTGCGCGTTGGGCCTCTTCCTTGGTTGTGGCTACCCATAGGTGCAAGACGATCCAATCTGCTTCCCTTTGGTGCAGTAACCTTGGGCCATGACCCATCTTGGCCACAAGACCTTGAAGTCTTTTCGGGTTTGGCCAAAACTAGTCCTTTTTTCTTGCCTTGTAATTTCTCTAAGGCTATGGGTCACCACTTGGGCCTTGAGCTTCCTTTGGACAAACTTGCCCTATTTCCTAGAATAATCCCAATCAGAATAGTAGTCAGGGATTAAATTACTTTTTAGTTCTAGGTGTTTCTATTTAGGAAACTAGAATTTACTTTCATGTTCGAGACAAGGCCTGCTCTAGAATAATCAATTGCACTAGTGTGTGCATGTTTTTTGTGCTAAATACGTAAGACCTCATGCTATTGCGGACTCGTAGGTTCCATAGGAGTTCAGATTTCCACAGAGCTCATCCTTGAAGCGAGATTGCATCTTCGGAATTAATTTTAGGCTTTCTAGGATCACATCATTTTTTGTTTGGGAGCATTTAAGGACTAGGAAGAGTAAGTAATGAAATGAGTACACAAGTAAAGTAGAATTAAGAAATTTTGTAAGAAAAATGATAAATGAAAAGTTAAGTAAATACGAGTAAGAAATTAAATTAATAAGAAGGATTAGTAAGACAAATAGGAAGAGAATTAAATAAATCAAATATACGATATACGATATCCAAATGATTAAAAAACATGAGTGTGAATGGAGAATTTAAAAATATTAATAAGACATCAAAATAACTCTTTTAGTTGTGAATCAAGGAGGGAAGGGTGCGTGTGTTGCTGAAATTCGGCGGGTTGGTGAACCCCACTCATGGGTGGATTTTTTGAATCTACTACAAACATGGATAGGTATGTATGCTTTTGATTAGGGTTGGCTAGCAAAGTACTATTGTGACCATTTTATATGATTTATGTGTATTTCAACATATCCAGTGAGGAGGATCTCTTTTGCCTCTCATTGATAGTGATGTAAAAAAATATTGTGTGATGGAAATTCTAATAAAAGTGAAAATGAAAATAATATGTAGAGTAAATTATAAAAAAAATGTGTCAGTGTGTGAATAAGACGTTAAGAAAATTTATTTAACATGTATGACTAAAATTCGGCATGTTGGTGAACCCCACACATAGATGGATGATTTGGACCTACTCCAAACATGGATAGGTATGCATGTTTTCGTTTGGATCAGGGTTGCCTAGGGAAGTACTGGTATAATCATTTTGTCTGAGTTAAAGTGTATTCGGCCTATCAATGTAGTGAGGATGCTTTGTGACCTCAATGGTAACAGTGTAACACCCAGCTAACCCAATTACCTTTTATTCGCCCAACCCAATTTTCACCTTGCTAAGACCCAAGCCCATTGGCCCAATTCCTAGCTTCAAGGATGATAGTCTACTATTTCCTCTTCTTCACCTGCAACACAGAGAGGATAGGGTTAGGTTAGCACAAAAAAGGGGAAGACTGCTGCCGCTGTGAAAATAGTGAAGTGCAGGGAGTATTTTGATTCTTAACGATAAAGAGAAGGAGGGAAATCGATAGTTGTGAGCGGAGGAGGCGCACGGTATCATAGGAGTGTTGTAGATTTATGGGGAAGAAGAGAATGGTCGTGTGAGGAGAGAGATAAAGAGAGAGAGAGAGAGGTCATTGGGTAGTGAGAGAGAAGAATGGTCGCAATCTAAGAAAATAAGAAGAAAAAAAGAGAAAAAAAAGAAGAAGAGCTTAACGGCGTGACGAATGGGAAAAGTGAGGGAAGGTGACCCGAACGGATGACTACTGTGTGAGGGCAGTTAGTCCAGTGGTGAAGGAGCTGCAAATGAGGCAAACCAAAACCGCACTTCTTCAGGTCTAGAGTCTGAATCTGATGCTGGTTTGAATAAATCTTCTTCCACCTTATATTTGATTATTTTTCTTTTAAATCAAAACCTTAGTAGTATGTATGCAAAATTTTAAGAAATAGAGAGTAAAAAACTAGAAAGAAGTTAAACATGGTGAAAGTCGAATCTGTCATAATTTCGATTCCTTTTTGTTTGAGATTCAAGTAAGAGTTGAGTCAGTTTTCATTTGGAGATTTTATATTTTTATAAGATGGTTTATTAATTTTAAAATGAATAATTACAATTTAACACATTACTTCAAGTTTTGCTTTGGTGTTTCTTTTCCCAAAAAGGAAAATTATCACTTGTATGTCGACTGTATGACTGTTGTATTTTTACATATATATATGTATGGATTTAGGTGCCAATATAATGTGAATGTGTGTATATGTATAGTGAGGATGTATATCTAGATATGAGTGTTCTGTATGTGTGTAATCTATGTTGATATATTGTTATGTGTGTTGCAAATATATATACACAAGACTGAGTGTGCGTATCACAAATAAGGGTTAGTTTGGAAGCAAATGGATATATATGTGTGCAGGATGTGGGTGTACGTGTAAAGAATATTCAAGCACATGCTCGTTCTGCATATATTCATATTGAACATCTGCATATACTCATATTGAACATCTGCATATACATATATATGTATTTAATGTGAAATATGAACATTTAAATATTAGCAACTGTATATATATTTATAAATAATGTGAACCATGATCTATTTATTAGTATTCATACTGAACGGGATATAGGGATGCTGGTAAAGTACTCATATCAGGTGGGGTATGAGGATGCCCGTGTGATCTAATTATTGGTTCTCATATCGAATGGGTACAAAGACACCCATGTGATACGTTGAGTGAAGTACTCTTTCTATAAGAGGTATTGGGATGCCCATGTGATATGTTTAATGGTACACATACCAGACGGGGTATGTGGTTGCCTATGTGATTTATTGAGTTGTACTCATACCAGATGAGGTATGGGGATGACCACGTGAACATATTTAGTGGTACTCATATCAAAAAAGGTATGGAGATGCGAATGGGTTACTCATACCAAATGTGGTATGAGGATGCCATGAGAAGTGTAAATGTATCTATGTTCTAACACGTGCAATAGAAAAACTGTGGTAGGTGCAAGTGTTTGTGAAATCAATGTGTACTGATAAGTAATAGTAAAAGTGTAAGTTTGTGCAAAATCAACATATGCATTATAAGTGGTACTTCAGATATGTAGGAATTAAAAGATATGTTTAGAATGGGAAATGGAAAAAATGATGCTTTTAATTATTTTTCAGTTTATATTTGGCAGTAATAATGATGAGTATGATTATCTTTCAAATCAAAATTTACTTTAATAAAATTTACATTATTTTATATGTATGAATGTTTGTTTCATATCTTCGTTATGGGCACTGCCCGTTTTCTTGCTGAGGTAGTGGAATCCTCACCCCAAATTTCCATAATCATTACAGGTTAAGAAAGGTTTAAATCAAGTTCAAGACCGAATAGGAGACTTTGAAGAAATCTCATAGTTTAGTCATTTTGGATTGTAAAAATAGAATAGAAACAAAATAATGATTGTTAAGAGATTGTATAGAACTTTATGTATTGTAATTTTTTACGAGGGATGAAATGGTTTTGAATTTTTATCAGGTTGCTACATTATAGGTGAATGTTATACGTGTAGTAGCGTTTCCTTCTCTGAGAAGTCGGGACGTTACCACCAGTTAAAAATTACACCACGTGATTAAAACCTTAATAAATTACGAAAATGAAAGAAGATGCAAATTTGATGTGATTTTTATTTGATACAACTTTGATTTGGTATGATTTTGATTAGACATGAATTTGATCTGATACGAATTTGATTGAATTTTGTGCATGTAAAAATTTACTCTGTGAATTATTTAAAAATTTAGAATTATGTATAGGGTGACTTTGGTACCTTAGATGTAATTTGGTTAAGATAAAATATAGATAATAAAGAGTAAACATTATACATAAGTGTGGATAAAGGAGTAATTTAGTAGAGATACTAAGTAAAAGAAAACAATCCAAAGAGGTTCATTAATTAATTGGTATGACACTTTAGGAAAATATTTAAAGGGTAAGATAAGGAATAATAAGGACATCAATAAAATAATTTTGAAATTAAAATGATAATTAAAAAAATTTCCTTCATATATAGTTGTAATTTCTTTTAATAATTACATTGTCACGTTATTGAATGTGTTCAATGTTGTATGCCTAAGGCATAGGAGGTTAATTGTCCTTCCTGAGCATGTGGAATTCATTAAATTCCACCATAGTATATTTCAAAGCGGGAGAGATTAGGATTAGCTTCAGGACCATGGAAGACTTGAAGGAAACCTCTGAGCTTTTGATTTGTTTTGTATGGTAAGGTAGAAATAAAATGATAGGTTATTTATAAATAACTTCCATTAAAAAAAATGTTGCATGTACCTTACTTTAAATTAATTATTCTCTTACAAATTACGTACGTAAATATGTAAGGCTACTGTATGTTTAGCATTTTTGTTAGTTCAACTAGTTAGAAATGGTGTTCAAGCATTTATAACCACCAAATTGGGGTTGTGATGGATGTCGAACCCACCAAAAATAAATTTCTAACTAACCAATAAAATAATATTGTAGTAGTAGTAAGAAGGGTCGAATCCGCAGGAAATTGAAAACCAATTTTCTTTTTTGACCAACAAATAAAAAACAAATAAAAGGAAGTTTTTATAGATTAAATATCAATGCAAAATATGAAATAAGAAATAAACAAAGTAATATAAACTAAACCCTTGGTTGTAAGTTAGAAACTAAATTAATTATAAGAAGGATTCCTAGTAAACGAAATAGCTAACTCTAATAACGTAGTTGATCATAGATGCAATGACTTGTTTTACCCAAAATATGGTAAATCAGTTAAAGTTATCAAAAATGTTCTGACGACCAATCCTTATTCCTAAACCAACCAACAAATGTTCGTCAGTTGGTTCTTCGCTGCTAAGCAGTCTTGGTAACGTACATAAGATTTAACTTGTCAATGGTCTTGAGAGCTAGAAAGACCTTATTCATATTGCTAGATTCATCTACGTGAACCGGTCAACTAGATTACTTACCTTCTCAATGCGGCACTGATCACTACTTGGTGCCAGAACTACTCAAACAATTACGAATTTGAGGAGTTCAACTAGTTGCTTGCGGTTTCTCTTTACGTATGACGAACCATGTTCAAACAGATTCAAAACAACAAATATATATAGGTGCAGGAAGTAAATAAATACCAGCTCTGAAATAAAACTCAAATTAATTCAATTAGATCTCACAAATACACTGTTAGAGTTTTTAGATCTATCAACTAAGAAAAAGAAATAAACTAGCCTCTCATGATAGACTTTTTAACACAAATGAGTTTTTAGAGAGTAAAGAGAAAAAGAAAGATGAATAAGAAAAATTACAGGAGCAGCAGACGTTGCTGTGTACAGCATCGGGAAGAAGAGAGATGATGATTCTGCTTCGCTACCGTAATTTATATACCAAAAAGGGGCTAGAGTTTTTTTCTTTGTTGATTAGGATCATTTTCCTTGATTTTTGGCTTATCCTAAGCTTTCCATAATATGTTTCGCTTAATTTTCGGCTCCAAATCTTAGCTGGAATAATATCTTTTTTTATGTTTGAAAATTACACGTTTTAATTTAAATATGATGTTGTGCACGACTCTTAGCCTAGTCCAAGTCTAAGTTGTCTGTCTACTAGACCAAGCCTTGCCCAAGGCTTGTTTTTGTGCTGATGACTCTTTTCACGAACTCTTATGCTTTTCATGCTATTTTTTCTCATTTCGTCCTTATATCTTGTCCTACAACAAGTGAAAAAATAGTTCAAATTAGATAGCATACCATCAAGTTTAATAGCCCAAAAGGGAATGATAATGATGTCCTCTTAAGGAACTGACAAAATCTCCTACATTTATCTTGTGTTTGTCCTCAAGCACTACACAATACACTCCATCAATCTCCATCTCTTCACCTTCAACTCACTTACTCCCATTCATTTCATCACAATGTGCATACTATACCTTAACCCTCAAGTTGTAAAAATAACCATCAACTAGTAATTTGTAGGCTTAAGTTTCATAGAATCACATCAATGAATAACCACTTTGACAACATCTAAACACGGTATGAGAGAGTTTTACAAATTTAGCATACAAAAATTTCATTGAAGGGAATAGCCAATATCTAGTAGAACAACCATCAAACCCTTCTAAATATAAGGATTCATGCAATTGGTTCATGCCAAAAACAAAAACACTTGAGCACCTTTTACTTACTTGAAATGTCACCAACCTTTTGATGCGAGGGCAAACATTTGTGATGAATGCACCTAGTTATTTAGTTAGTCACAGTTTCAAGTGGCTACTAATATTACTCGTAGTCATTTAACTAGAGGAATAGATTATTATTCGTGGTCTCTTTCATTTTCTTTCATTGTGAGTACATTTTATTCTCCATCTTATACTTTTACTCCAACTGTTTTTCAAAGTGAGTGTGTTTTATGCTCAATCTCACTAATCACATGATAATTAATTTGATTTATTCATTCAAAGCACATAATTCTGGACAAGTTGTAGAAGAGATCTTTCTTAGTATTGATATTCACATAAAAGTAAGAAAAAAATAATTTTTTTTTGAATAAGCAACCCTCAAACAAGTCATGTTGAACATGTAATCAAAGATAACAATTCATAGCGTGAAAAGATAAAAAATAAGCTACAGTTCCTAAAAGAGTGTTATAAGTGCAATTAAACTTTTGAAGTATCCCATTTGAGCTGCTTAAAAATAATAGAGAGGCAGTTGTGAAGGTTGGAGTAAAAAATTGTTAGAGTTGCATGTGTAATGTAGCAAAAATTAGGTAAGGTCAAAATACTTAAGATGATATGCCAAAAAGGAAAACTGGCTACTTAAGATATAGAATACAGAATGCAGAATACACAATACATAATGCAAAATGCCTTCCCCCCACACTTAAAGTACATATTTCCCTCAGTGTGATGCAAATAATGAAAAATAAAAATGAAGTGATAGATTAACTCCCCTGGTTACTTGAGTTGGAGTTGGGGTGCATTGGAAAATATCACATTTTGGGAACCACCAAATGTGTTGCCAACTAATATAAGCCTTGGGCAAGGCTTATGTGGGGGATGACACACGATTGTGTTTTTCTTGGAATTTCATTGTTTTTCTGTTGTAGACACAATATGACTATGTTGGGCAGACACATGATCGTGTTTCCCTCACAAAAGATGTTTTAGAGCTAACACATGATCGTGCCTTAAGTGTCTGACACAATGTTTTAGTCAAGGCTTGTTCGGCTGTTCCAGAGCTTAGCTTTTTTCGACTCCAGCACCTAAATTCTCTATCCCTGCACTCTAATCACCATAAAACTCATGTTAACTCAGAGAAAATATTGCAAATAAATTGAAATCACTAATACAAATAATGAAAATTGAAAAAGAATGAAGAAAAATGATGGGTTGTTTCCCATCAAGTGCTCTTGTTTAATGTCTTAGGCTAGACTTGTCAATTTTTAGGCACTCAAATCAATTTATCTTCTTATAACGCGTTTAGCTTGTTAGAACTTATCACTGGAAGGGTCTCTTATCCTCCCAAGAACATATATTTCAAATGTTCAGGCAATAGTTTGAGCTCCAGTTTTGGTGCCTACAAAATAGAAGGTAGACATTTTGTGTTAGAAATAGGAAAGTCAACACACAATGCATCTCCTTTGAGGTTTAAGTGCCTCAAATTCAAACATCATATCTTGTGGATTCTTCTCATCAACAAGATCTTCTTCTAAAATTTTTAAGTTGTCCATATTAAAATCATTAGAAAGTACAGTGTTCAGCTTATCATCGTGGCTTAGATCAAAATATTTTTGACTTAAAAAGATCTACAGTATTAACACCATACACACAAAACACATCACTAGAATAATTCATATCATCATAAACATTAAATTTTATAATTTCGCCATCAAATTCCATAATGAGTGTACCATCCTGTACATCTACCTTCGTTTTAGATGTACTAAGGAAATATCTTCCTAGCAAATATCAGAGGGATTAGATGATTTATCATCTTCTATGTTTAACACATAAAAATCAGTAAGAAAAATGAGATTATCAACTTTGACAAGTATATCCTCCAGAACTCCTTTAGGATAAACAACTTATCATCAGCTAGCTGAATTATAACACCTATTTCTTTTAATGGACTAGCATTTAACCTTGAATAAATAGACAAAGTCATGACATTTATTGATGCTCCTAAATCACACATGGCTTTCTTTATTTTTAAAGTGCCTATCTTACAAGAAATAGCAAACATACCTTGGTCTTTGCATTTGGGGGGTAGTTTTATTTGAATTATACCTGGAATATTTTTTTCCACACTTACCCTTTCATTATAGCTCAGCCTTTTCTTGTTGGTGCACAGCTCTTTTAAAAATGACATATCGAGGAGGTACCTTTTTACTTGCATTGAGTAAAGGAATGTTTACCTTAACCTTGCTAAAAGTTTCTAGGATCTATTTCTCTTCTTTTTCCTTCCTTAATTGTGCAAATCTTTGTGAAAAGCTGGAAGGATTTTAAAT